AATTAATTATATAAAGTAAGAATTATGAAAATGTATTGTTTTACTTGGAACATACAGAGATGGAACTGTGTAACATTAGCACAAAGAGAGGAAGAGAAAATAAAGCCATGTAGAAGCAACAATTCTACATGCCCCTGGAATTGTTAGTATAAACCAGAAGGAGATTCTGATAAGTTAAGATGTACCTGGTAAGTCCTGGAGCAACCACGAAGAAACTAAAGGTACTAGGTATGGCCATGTAGCTGAACTCACCATTGGAATGGGAGAGGCAGTGATTCGGGCTTCTTCAAGGCCAGGATTTACCTCCTCTGCTCTTTCTCTGTCTCACAAGTCTGAGGACAGATGTGTTTATGACGCGGAGCATAGAGACGGGGCTGGAGATGAGCATTTGGACATGCTGCTCCAGAGGACGGCAGACAAAACAGATAAACTGGCTTCTGAACAAGCATGTCCAACAGGGAACACACCAAACAGGGACTCTACTACATGAGGAAAAGAAACTTTTATCTGTTCAAGCCAATGTATATATGGTCTATGAAATACTGTCACCTAGTGCCAAGAATGAACATTTCTACATAGGAAGATTTGGGGTGATTTTATTCTCATTGCTGTACTTCTCTACAAGACTATTTTGGTAAGATGATATGTGTTCACTGTATAAAAATATTTTTTTTTTTTCTTTTTGGCAGAGAGAGAGAATTCCAAGCAGGCCCCATGCTCAGCTGCACAGCCAATGAAGGGCTTGATTCCACCACTCTGGATCATGACCTGAGCTGAAATCAAGAGTCAGCCACTCAAAAAACAGTCACCCAGTCACCCCTAAAAATAATAAATTATCTTATTTTTTAAGTTTATGTATTTATTTTGAGAGGGAGAGCGAGCAAGCAGGGAAAGGCAGAGAGAGAATTCCAAGCAGGCTCTGCATTATCAATATAAGTCTGGTGTGGGGCTCGAACTCATGAACCATGAGACAAGACCTGAGCTGAAGTTGGAAGCTTAACTGACAGAGTCACCCAGGCACCCCCAAAATAAATTACTTTTCAACACACATTTCATAGCTTTCTACTCCTCTGGGATCAGAATCACATCTAACACACATCTAACATAGCCTGCTAGGCCCTAATGCAGTCCTGTCTACTTCTCTTCTTTTTTTAATGTTTATTTGTTTTTTGAGAGAGAGAGAGAGAGAGGCAGAGTGTGAACTGGGAAGGGGCAGAGAGAGAGGGAGACACAGAATCCGAAGCAGGCTCCAGGCTCCAAGTTGTCAACACAGAGCCCAATGAGGGGCTCAAGCCCACGAACCATGAGATCATGACCTGAGCCGAAGTTGGGACGCTTAATTGACTGAGCCACCCAGGTGCCCCTGTCTACTTCTCTTTAAACATGTGTGTCTCTGTTCTGGTCCGTCCTCCCCTGTACACTATAGGCTCTGACAGCCATGAGGATGCTACCCAGCTTGTTCACCGTAAGTAAGCCAGATCATAGCTGAGTGATACATTTGAATTCATACACGTTCTGTGCCCAATTCCCAGCCTGTCCTTGACAAATTCTTCTGCCTGGGTGTCCTTGTCCTTGGACCCCCTTCCCTTTCGCTCAGGTTCTTCTCAGGCTCCTCCTCCTACCTAAGAGGCAAAACCACAGGACCACCAGGACCACCAGACAAGGCCACCAGGAGAAGCAGCATGTTAAATGCTCAGCTGCAGGACGGTGAACATCCCTGAAACTGGGCAGAATGACAAAGTCCATCCTGGTCTCAGGTGGCACAGAGGAAACCACACAGTCTTGGAGCCAAACAGCCATGATTCAAATCCCAGCTACTCCCCAGCTGTGTGTAACTGACTCATCTCTCTGATCATCAACTTCCTCATCTATGAAATAGGGAAAATAATGCTTCTGGCATGGACTCTGAGCCCTCAAGAAATTGTAATGGGAGGTTGCACCAAAGGCCCTTGGAAATCTCCTGGAAGATAAACCACTTCTTACTTCCAGGTAAGGAGATATGACAAAATAGAAGTCATCAGGGGACAATGTTTAACATATTGTGTAACCCACAGAGGGTGGTGCATGTGGAGAAATGAAGGGGGACCCAAAAATAAGTTTAACTGGTTTAATTTCATCAGGCAAAATCTGGGTAAGAGAGTTACAGAGGCATGCTACCACTCAGTTATTTTACAGCACTTCTGCCAACTCTACCCCTTTCCTGCCAGCATGGACTCATTTCCCTAAATGCCACCATTCCCACTGTGTGCACCCACGTATACAGGAAACTCGATAAATGGACTGTGCAAAATTGCAGGGTTCAAGAACAATTTGCAAAAATCAACTATATTTTTATACATAAGTAATGAAGAATTGGAAATACCATGCACAGCAGCATAAAAATAAAAATACTTAGGAATAAATCTGACAAAAGATGTTAAATGCCTAAACGTGGAAAACTAAAATACTACTGAGAAACTGAAACATAAATAAATGGAGACGTACATCTTGTTCATGGGTCAGAAAACACAATATATGTCAATTCTCCCCAAACTGGTCTATAGATTCAAAGCAATCACAATAAAATGCTAGCTGTCTAGCAGGAGCAGAAATCAACAAGCTGATTTTAAAGATCATATGGAAATACAGAAGACCTAGAATAGCCAAAGCAACTCTGAAAATGAAGAACAAAGTTGGAGAATTAATACTACCTGATTTCAAGACTTTTTTTTTTAAGTTTACTTATTTATTTTTGAGCGCACTTGAGTGGGGGAGGAGAAGGGAGAGGGACAGGGAGAGACAGAGGGAGAGAGAGAGAATCTCAAGCAGGCTCCACACTGTCAGCATGGAGCCCAGTGCAAGGCTGGGACTCATGATCCATGAGATTATGACCTGAGCCAAAATCAAGAGTCAGACACTTAGCTGACTGAGCCACCCAGGCACCCCTGATTTCAAGACTTTTCATAAAGCCTCAGTAATCAAAACAGTATGATACTGCAGTAGAGACTGACAATAGACAAACAGAAGAGAGCAGAGGGTCCAGAAATAAACCCACACATATATGGACAACTGATTTGTGACAAAAGCACAAAGACAATACAAGTGGAGAAAAAATGTTTTTTTTTTCAACAAATGGTACTGGAACAAGTGGATTAACAAATTAAACAAATTAAATCTTGGTGGGGCACTGGGGTGGTTAAGTCAGTTAAGTGTCCAACTTTGGCTCAGGTCACAATCTCATGGTTCATGATTTTGAGCCCCATGTCGGGCTCTGTGCTGACAGCTCAAAGCCTGGAGCCTGCTTCGGATTCTGTGTCTCCCTCTCTCTCTGCTCCTCTCCTGCTCACGCTCTGTCTCTGTCTGTCTCAAAAATAAACATTAAAAACATTTTTTTAAAATAAAAATTAAAAAACAAAAAAAATTTAACAATCAGAAAGCAAAAAATCCAGTTAAAAAATAGGCAAAGACATGAACAGACACTTCACCACTGAAAATACACAGAAGGGAAACAAGTACATGGAAAGACAGCTAACATCTTTAATTACTAGAGAAATTAAAATTGAAACCACAATGAGACACCACTACACATCCATCAGAGTGGCTAAAATGAAAAAAATTGATGACACCAAGTATTGATGAGGATGTAGAGAAAATGGAACCCTCATCCATCGCTGGTGGGAATATCAAATGGTGCAACCAGTTTGGAAAAGAGTCTGGCAGGTTCCTAAAAAGTTAAATATATACCTACCATGTAATCCAGCCATTCTATTCCTAGGTATTTACCCAAGAGCAAAGGAAATGAATGGTCATACAGGGGTCTGCATACAAATGTTCTTAGCAGCTTTATCTGTTATTAACCCCACACTGGAAACAACCCAAATGTCTGTTAACAGAATTGATAAACAAATTGTGGCATATCCATACAATAAAATACTAATCTAAAAAATAAACAAAATAAAAAATAAAAAAAATTAATAAATAAGTTATTGATACATAACATGGAAGAATATCAAAAGAACTATGTTGAGTCAAAAGATGACAAAAAAAAAGAATACATGCTCTATGATTCCAATTATATAAAGCTCTAGGAAATGTAATTTATATAGACAGAAAGCAGATCAGTAATCACTTCACGATAGAGATGGGAAGAAGTGAGAAGGAGGGATTAGAAAGAAACAGGAGAAAGTTTTGGGGGTAAAGGATATTCTTGCTATCTCGACTGTGGTGAATAGTTTCACACGTACATACATAATGCACAAATGTTAGCATATTGCACATCTTAAACATGCATGGCATATTAATGCTTAATATACCTTAATAAAGCTGTTTCTAAAAGGGGGAAAAATGCATGGAGTGTGGAGCCAGTATGCCAGAGATCCAACCCAGCTCTGTTCCTGGCCAGCTGTGTGATCTCAGGCCAGCAACTGAATCTCTTGTGCCTCAGTTTCTTGAGCACCAACTGTGAGGACCTTGGAAGATTGCATAAGTTCATGTACTGAGCACAAATGTCCAGGCATTGTTAGCTGCTGTGGTAGCACAGAGGATTCAGCTACACTTACTGTTCACTATTTATATGCCCATACTCTTTGCTATACATGAAGAAACCCTAACTCATGTTTTTCTCCAAGGCCCTGAATCAGCCTGGGAAGTCTAAGTGAGCAATAGCAGGAATGACTCTGGGCAGGAGGGCATATCTCTGGGTGGTCTTTCCAAGCAGCCAAGGCAGAGCTGACCAGCAAGGCCTGAGAAGGAATGGGCAGCCAGGGCAGGGAGTCAGCACCCCAGAAAGATACCTGAGCTCTTTTCTGGGATCTTTCTGATCATTTTCTAGGGTAAGGGAACCATGAACTCATTTATGGGTATAGAGAGAAACGAGAAGAAAGGCAGAAATGGAGAAGAGGGAAAGCAAAGCCTTGGCAGTGACAAGAGATGTGGCCCAGAGCTCACAGAGAAGGGCCTGGAGAAGTGGCAGCACCTGCCAGCAGGGGCAGGAGAGCATGGGGGCATTCCTGGAGACTTACTTCCACTCCTGTGATTCCGGATCCAGCTCTCCTCAATTCTCAGTGAGTGTGGGGCCCATGGTTCTTCCCCCTTCTCCAGCCTGGAGATGACATCAGGTTTGGAACGTTGAAGTCCTGTTCCAGAGAAAGGAAGCAAGACTGACAATTCATCCAAGTCCAGGGCAGGATGGCCCCATGGGCAGCACGTGTGTGCTGGTCATGACCTCCCCTGTCACCTGGTCTGCAAATCAAGGAGACAGATTCAGGCCTCTGCCCCAGCTGAAGAAAAGTTAAACCCAGCTCTTCTGGGGGCTGTGGATAAGGGACAGAGTTGGGGCCTGAACACATCACACTAGAAGACTCACAGAATCTTGGTGTCTACCAAGGACTGTCTACAAGGACTAAAGGGAAGCAGCACATTCTGGTGTAAGGTAGGGCTCTGAAACCAAATGGATTCAAATCCTAGACCTGTCCCTGACTGCCTGTATGAACTTAAATGAATGATACTCTTCTATACTTCCTACAAGGAAATCGGGGTGTCCATGGCACTGCCTGTCCTCTCCTCTATGCAGACCAGGCCTGCCTGGGACCAGGGTCATAAATGTGTTACGTTCAGACCCAGGGGATGAGGAGCCTCTTAGCCCCAAGCCTAGCCCCAGTCCCATTCATGAGCAAGGAACCCAGAGCCCAACTTCAGAGAGAAGCCTTACCCAGCGAGACCAGATTTCTGTAGGTTTCCAGCATCACGTCCCTGTAGAGGCCTTTCTGAGCAGGGCCCAGACAGCCCCACTCCTCCCAGGAGAGGAGCACAGCCACGTCCTCAAAGGAAACTGAGACCTGGAATGACGAGATCTTGTTGCAACCCCAGGATCAGGCCCAGGGTGGGTCTGGGGTGTGGAGGAGCCATTAGGCTCAGGATGGGCAAAATCCCTCTGAACGCATGTACCAGACTTATCCTCACAAGAGTGGCCTCTTTGAGGCAGGCACCATTTCCACTTGTCTTTGTCTGCCGAACCCCTGCCCTCCACTGTGTCTGGTCCAGGGATTGGGAAGACACAGTGTGGGGCACATTTCAGGGACCTGGGCTCAGGGACCGAGGACACTGGTGAAGACAGGCAGCCAACTACCCTCTGGGACCAGCCCCTCATAGAGAGAACCATAGAGACTCCAGCCAAGAAAGGGCTAAGGCCACACAGAGGTGTCTCCATGCATACCACTCACCTGGGGCCCATCAGGAAGGAGCTGCTTGACGGCTATCATTGGATCTCTGAGCTTTTCCCAAGGAGGTGGGCAAAACTGCAGGGAGAGGGAAGACTGTAATGGAGTGTGACCAGCCTGCTTTTCTCACAGCAACACTGAGACTTCTGTGCCTGGATCTCAAGAGGTCTATGGCAGCAGACATGGAGTGTGGGGCTGCCAGAAAGCCCTGGGAAGGGCAGATGGACTAAGCACCCAGTAGTCCCTGAGACTATATCCCCTTGCCCACCATGAGGCCTCCCCAGCAGCCCCTAGTACAACAGCATCCTAAGGCCACCACGTGATGGCCCCAGCAGTGCACCTGGCTGGAGGAGCCAATGGGCTGCATCTCAGGCCCACTCAGGAGGTCCTGGAAAGTGGGCAAACACCTGAGGACAAGCAGACTAGGCTCTTTCTAATGCAGTGCACAAGTAGGGAGGCTGACAGACAAAATTTTAAGTGCCTATGACAGGTGGCGATAAAGGATAGAAAGAATGAGCAGCATGAGGGCAGCACTTGGTGGTAGGAGATATTTTACAGAGGATAGTCAGGGAAGGCACCTTTGATAAAGCAACATCAAAGGAGAGATCTCACTGTAGTGAGGGCAGGCAGTATGTGGATATTAGGGGAGATATATCCCAGGAAGGGGAAAGCACAAGTGCAAAGGTTATGAGGTGCAAGCTCACTTGACGTGTTCAAGTAAGGGCAAGGAGGCCAGAGGGGCTGAAGGGGAGCTGGGGAGGGCACGAGAAAAGAGGGTGGAGAGCCTCCTAGACTATAGGATTTGGGCTTTAAATCTGAATGAGATGGGAAGCATCTAGAAGGTCTGGACAGTGATATGACCTTGACAGGTCTTGTGGCCTTTCCAGCTGCTGCTTTGAGAACAGACTGGGGGTGGGGGGTGGGGGCTATCAGGGCCTAAACAGGAAAACCAGTTGGAAGGCTCTGGCTATAATCCACTAGAGGTGACCAGAGTGGTGGCAGCAGCTGATAAGTGATCAGATTCTAGATGCATTTCAAAGGCATACTTAATAGGATTTGCTGATGAATTAGATCTGGGATAAAACATCAAGAATTCTGGCCCAAGCTATTGAGATGATGACATCTCCATTCACTCAAAAGGATAAGACTGTAGAAGTACATCTGAAGGGTAAAAATTAAAAATTGGTTTTGTATGTGTTGTATTTAAGATGCCTATTAGACTTACAAGTGGAGAATGAGAGCTTTTGCATATATGGGTCCATAATTCAGGAGAAAGGCCGAAGCTGGCTGGGTATACACTGGGAACTGTCAGTATACATATGACATTTAGAACCCCTCCTCTGGTTTTACTACAGGCTGACAGGTGACATGAGGGTTACCACTCTCAGCAAAACCTTCCCAATCAGCCTCTGATACAAAGCTAGCTCCCACCTCCACAGCTCCCCACTCCATGCAAACGAACCCCTTAGTTCAAGTAGAAATGTGTATCGCTGGTGGGTCTGCACTCTGCCTTTGCTTCCAGACTGGCAGGAAGGCATGTAACACTGCTGCTGGAAGCATGGGCTCTGGAAGCTAAGACGGCTGAATTCCAAATTTGGATACACCACCTACTAATGCAAAGGTCCCCGGTAAGTGACGAGTTTCTACACAGATCTTAAAATGAGAACACTACCGCTATCCTAAGCGACTATTTTGAGAATTAAATGAGGAAAATGTATAAAGTACTTTGTATAGTGTTGGCAAGCCATAACAAGAAAAATATAACTAAACCTTAATCACTATCATTAAGGCAATGTTTATTGACCGCCCGACAAATGAATGAACGAACGCCGTGATTGTTCTAGCTCCAGAAAGTGATCTCCTGCTTGTCCCCTTCAGACCCAGGAACCGAGGTCCCTTCCCTGACAGCTTTAGCAACTCTATCCTTTCACCTAATCTGCTGCGTGAAAAGCACTTTTCGAGAAAAAGCACAATTTGATTCATCCCCTGACCACGTCCCAACCTCGCCTCCTCGTTAAGGCCTTCTTCATCCACGCGGCGACCCGGGGAGCCTGGACGCCACGGAGCGGGTCTCCGCGGGGGCCTCCGCCGCTCCCCCGCCCGCCTCCCCACACTCCACGCCACCTCCGCGCGCTACCCACGGCCGCTCAGACACCTCCGCGCCGGCCGCCCTCGCCCAGACTCACTCAGCTCGGACACGGGTGGACGCGCCCCTCGCAGACGCCAGGCCCTGAGCGCCAGAGCGGCCGGACAGGAAGTGCCCGCCTTGAACTTCCGCCGCGCCCTCCATCTCACCACCAATCGGGTTCCCGGTTCCGGAGGCTGCTCACAGAAGACTCTGCGCTCCTGGCAAGTTCCTGGGTCCTGGTCCTGACTTGGTTGCCAGAAGCCGACTGGCCTTGTGAGAAATGTTAAAAGCTCTTTAGAGAGTTGGGAACTGTCACAGGGCGGAAACTCATGAAGAAAGGAAAAGGATCAGAGAAGGAATAAGTGACAGTGAAACAAAATCTTTTATTTTTCTTATTCCCGATTATTCTGAAAGATTACTGTTTTTCAGAGTAATAATAGCAACGATATATTAGGTTATTATAGCACATGGATGAGTAAAATGGAAGACAGCAATGTCATAAGGGATGGGAGGGAGGAATTGGGAATACTTGGTTATAAGTACCTATGCTACCTATGAAGCAGTATAGTGTTACTTGAAAGCCGACTCAGATTAGTTCTACTAGATATATTTGCAACCATTAAAATGTTTTCATTTATTTTTTTTTTTATTTGAGAGAGAGCGAGTCGGGAGAGGGCAGAGGGAAAAAGAATCTTGAGCAGGCTCCATGCTCAGCGTGGAGACTGAAGTGGGGCTCCATTCCATGACCCTGGAATTATGACCTGACCTGAAATCCAGAGTTGATGGTCAACTGACAGATGCACCCAGGAGCCCCCCTTTTTTTTCTTCTCCCCATGCTATATGGAGACTTATTTAAAACCTGAGGACACAAAGTTTAATGTTTTTTTATTTATTTTTGAAGGAGAGAGAGAGAGAGAGAGAGAG